AGCTGTCGTGACACGTACCGGAGGCAGCGCACTGAGTTCACATCTCCGATACACGAATGGCGTTCCGTCCAAAAGGTTGTACTCGGCGACTTCGAGTTGCAGTCCAAAACGACGGTTGTCGATGCCGGTGTACCCAAGAATCGAAAATATGATCAGTGTGAGGCCGGGCAGATTCGATGCGTCGTAGGATGGGCAGTCTGCTATGTGACTAAGATACGCATGGAAACGACTGTCTCTAGCAATGTTTTCGATACCGTCCCCCGACTCCAGGAAGGTGAGGAAGTGGCAACAGAGCAAGCATTTTCGCTTTGCGGCTTCGGCGATGTCTTCCAAGGTATACTCAACGGGGACAAATCCTTTGGAATCCAGATCCTCAGGCAGTGTAGAAAGCCTCCTGCACGTAACACAGAACGTTGGGTTCAGCGTCTCAACACTCTGTTCTAGTTTGGACGGATCGGACGCTTCGCTAACGCTGGAGGTGGACATGACACGATGCCGAAGAGTGAAGAAGCAGCCAGTCGGGGCATGTTACTAGGCTGAAGGCAGAGGGTAGGAATGCGGGGTCGCAAGTGCTGCCTTCATGCAGGACCATTCGGGGCCAGGGCTTACACCACGTGTTGGGAGTCGGCGCTAGGGGCGCTCACGAAAGTTTTCCTGAGTAAAGTAGATCATTCGTTGCCTTATTCAAGACGACCCTATGTCTATACAAATGCAAGGCGACAACAAAGTGCTTGCTAAACTACCCAATCCACCACATCGCATCATCACCTCATGAGGTATGCCAGTCCCATAACCCCTCAAACGCCATGCCTTCGTAGTCGACCTAGAAAGTGCCAACGACCCTCTTGACCATCTTCCTCATGCCCTCACCACTGATCTGCACAGCACCTTCAAGTTCGGCACTACGCAGCACCTCCAGGAACTCCTGGTTCTCGACTTGTTCGCTGGCGCCTTCTCGCACCTTCTTGACTAGGTCGTTCATGCGCACACTCTGGCCAGCAGAACCGAGCTCGTCGAGCGAGGCAAGCACTGCACGCTTCAAATCCTCTTTCCTACGGCGGTCGCTGGTCGATGTGCCCTCGGTGAGAAGTGACATGTCGATCAGGCCGGTGCGTGCATCCGTAGCTGCTTGCTTGAGCGCCGACTTGATGAGGCGGACAGCCTCGTGAACGTCGTCGGCCGTGACTTCCTCTGATAGGCGCATCTTGGCGTGCGCTTCTGCGAGACGGATCATGGATTCCAATTGACGTGTGGTGGCCGTGATTCTTCGTTCTTGCGAGCGGATATCGGCACCAAGGCTGCGCATAGCGACGTAGGCATCAACGAGAGCCTTTGATGCGGGCTCAGTGATCTTGGGGTGGATGTTCGAGCGCGCGTATGAGATATAGGCAGTCAAGAACTCGATAGGCATAACCTCGTTCTTGTTAGCATTCTCGGGCGTGTCTTCAAGATACATGCCGACCAAATGGCGAGCCATGCGACGATCGTTCTGCTCATCAATGCGGTCCAAGACGAGGTATACCAGGTCGAAACGCGAAAGCAGCGTAGGCGGAAGATCGATGTTCTGCGGAACGGGAAGGTTAACGTTGTACTTCGATCCGATGGGGTTGGCAGATGCCAGAATCGAGGTACGGGCGTTGAGAGTGGTGATGATACCAGCTTTGGCTATGGAAACCGTCTGCTGTTCCATGACTTCGTGAAGAACGGATCGCGTTGCCTCCGACATCTTATCGAACTCGTCGATGCAGCATACACCGCCGTCAGACAATACCAAAGCACCGGACTCAAGCACAAGCTGTCTGGTCTCGGGATCGCGGGTGACGTATGCAGTCAGACCGACTGCAGAGGAACCCTTTCCGGAGGTGTATACACCGCGCGGTGCGATCCTGTGTACGTACTGTAGGATTTGAGATTTGGCTGTGGACGGGTCACCACACAGTAGGACGTTGATGTCGCCACGGTATTTTGGGCTGCCACCCTTCTCAAATTGCTTGTTGGTGCCACCGAAGAGTTGAAGCAGGATACCCTTCTTCACATCGTCCATTTCGTAAATGCTGGGCGCCAGCGAGCGAGACAGCAGATCGTAAACGTCAGGACGAGCGCCAGTGGCCCTTATCCTCTCCTCTTCCTCTTCGGAGACCTTGCGGGTCTCTTCGATATCACCAGCTGCGTGCTCTGCGAGTTCCTCTTCGATTGTTGACACGTCAATGCCCATTCGCTTCTTGTCAACCTTCTGGATGTGAAGGGCGTCTACGTATGTCTTGAAGATGTTCTTTACGGATCGCTGGCGCGGGTTGATGCGAACTTGATTGCACTTGAAGATACCAGTGATCTCGACGCGGTCACCGGCTTTGCAAACATCGACGAGCTCATCGTAGGCACATAATGACACCGAGTGGGGTGTTTGTCCGTCCGGCATGTCATCCGGTGTCTCTTGTAGCTTGATGACCTGCTTGTTCGCGAAGCCGGAGCGGTTGTGCACAATTTGCATCGAGTTTGGCGAATCGCATACGGCGCGCGGGCACTTGGTGGGCTCGGTGATCTTGCCACGGTCGATGTCGACCCTGACAGTATGATTGCATACGGAGCACCGGAAGAAAGCTAGCGGCGTTAGCGAAAGAGTTTCAACATTCTTGTGATACACTTACCATCCTTCATATCCGGGATGATGGGCGTGGTCCTGATTACCAGACCCTTCACACTGACGAGCTTGTCCATATCGCCAGGATTGAGCTCACGCAAGTTGATGGTGTGATCGAGACCGAACGGCCTAACGTTGTACGTCTTTTGGTCGACCTCGCTGACCAGGTTCGGGATCTCTGCGAACGGAGCCGGAGACGGGGCGCCAGGTGTAGGGGCATCGGAACTCAGCATGGGCGGGAGGGAGCTCGAGTCGCGAGCCCTAGGTTGAGCAGCACGCTGTGCTTGTGACATCTGAGTTCGCAATTCTGCCATGCGCTTCTCAGCAAGTTCGAGCATAGTGTCCTTGATCGCCACGTCCATGATGGGGATGATTTCGTTCGGATAAGCCTGTAGTTGATGCCAGAGTTTCCTTGTCGGCGGGTAGGACTTGAGATTGCGCGCGTCCAGGTTCAAAGGCGTGACACCAAGTTCCAGCATCATCTTCATGATATCGACATATTCCCTGGCCATGGCTGGGTGACTGTCCGGAAGACTCAGACCCTCAGCCAGCTCACCGTCCTGGACCATGCGATACTTCCTTCGGAAGTTCATCAAGAAGTCTCTCATGGCATGTCTGGCATCGACAAGCGACACATTGGTTCCCCAAATGACCCGAGTAGAGTTGCCGCCCAAGACGTCTGCATCTGATGTGTCGGGATTGATGTTGGAGAAGGTCGGCGCGTCCGAAGCCTCCTGCACGGGCATGCCATTCTCGTCGACAAAGAGCCTGCGCCGGCGATTGGTAGAGCTGGTGCCGAAGACGTCTGAGTGGATATCGCTTCGTCGATTGCGGGCTGCAGATTCGGAGCCGCCTACGAAAAGAGCGCTGCTACTGCTTCCAGGGATGTTGCTCTGGGCATTGCGGGCTCGGCCAGGGCTAGAGGAGGATGCGTAGTGGATGGGCGATGAATCTGTGTCTGTTAGCGGTGCATACTAGAGCTCATATCAGTCTCTACATACCACCAATCGTCATGGCAGACGCCTTTGGTGTCGCACCGCCATCACTCTCTTCCTCGCCATTCGCTGGCCCCGAATTGGAGGGGTTTGCAGGCGAGGAGCGGAAGAAGAGCGGGGATTGTGTCGAAGTGGTTTGGAATCTTGCATTGCGAGGAGTCGCTTGCGATCCACGTTGCGACGCCTGAGAAGCTTCGGACTGTAACTGCTCCTCTGGACCTACTGGCGCTGAGCTGCTGTCGGATATCTGAGAATTCTGACCACGGGCGCTTCGCCGTGGAGTCGCCGACGCAGAAGTGCGCTGAGAGCGGCGCTTCTCTGGGGAAGACATGGTTGCGGTGCTCTATGCGGCAGCAACGGTGAATGTGTTGATGTTGTAGAGGGGTTGCCAGGGAAGGTGGGCTCGTCGCGCCTACTCCTTTCGCAACGACGCGTGGGACGCGTTCTAGGCTAGTATGCAAACGGACGTAAGTGGTCTTGGCATACCCGAGACAAGTCTAATTGCGGGCCAAAAGACGACTACTACGAAGATATCTTTTAATGAAAGACACCGAGAAGACTCTGCAAGCATCAAGTGCGATTTGACAGCATTATGTGTACACATGTAGACCAAGCTGTAGACTAATTCTACTAGTGGGGCAACTAGCCCCGCTGTGAACAAATGTTTACAAGCAGGCAACGACGAACAGCGACACTAATCAACTCAACTAAACCTCCAACCCTCATTCTTTGCCTTCCCCAATCACAAACTCAACCCTCCGATCCGTAACCAATATCAATCTTGACCATGGCGCCTCCCTCTAAACTCGCAATCGCAACTGGCGTCGTAACCCGCCTTGTCAAGGAAGAAGCCAGCTACCACAAGGAAATCGAGCAGCAAGAGGCGCGCATCAAGAAGGCTGAAGCCAATGAGGGAGATGAGAACGGCGAATACACCCTAAAGCAAGAGGTACAGAGTCTCGGCCATCCTGATACCAAACATGATTACTAACTGTGGTGTAGCGTCAAGCACTCCAGGAGACCAAGAACGTCCTGCCTGGCATGAAGACCAAGATTGAGCAGGCAGTTGAGCGGCTGGAGGAGGAGCTCGTAAGTTCAGGATGCTATGGGCTGGGTATCCCATACTAACAATCTGTAGGAGAACAACAAAGAAGGCGGCGCCCAGGCATCACCGGAGGAAATCACCAAGGCGAAAGAGGCTGTCGAAAAGGGCAAAGCGGCCATGCGTGAAGTTTCTTAGATTCGTAGCTACCGAAGAGATAGTCGGTACCACTGCCGTATGGTAGTAGTACAAAGATGATGGAATGATACCCGAACACCGCGCTATGCAATCAAATCATCAAAGAATCATCATCTACATGTGATCACGATTCGTCCATCTTGGTGTCTGTGCGATCTTCGCCATCCTCCTCCCCATCTTCAAGATCCTCGCCCTCTTCCAGACCAGAAGAGTCACCATCATTGGCATCTCCTGAGTGTGCTCCAAGGTCTGCCATCTCTGTGTCATCGGCGGCACCAGATCTAGCAGGTGAGGGCGCGGCGCTAGCTTCCCGTGATAGAGGCTTCAGGCGATCTTGTGGTGGTACGCGTAGGGACGAAGAGCCGTCTCCGCTCTGGCTGGCATGCCCAGGTGTCATGCCACCATCTGGTCGCGGTGTACCGGCATGGCTAGCGTCTCCTCTGGAGGTGCTGCCCTCGCCTTCGCCATCTTCGTCACCATCCTTCATCATGCCCTCCTTGCGCTCAGCCTCCTCCTTCTCGTCCTTGATCATGCGCAACATGCCGCGTGCTTCTTCCTCGATTCGTCCGAACTGCGTGCGTCGCTCCTTCCAGGTAGCCTTAGCCAACCGGACTTCTGAATTGAGCTCCTCTATCTCCTGGTCCAGCTTCTCGTGGGCGTGTGCTTGCTCGTCCCGTGGCTTCAGCATCTTGCTGTTGGTGATCTTTTCCGTGAGCTCGTCGTACGTCTTGCGCACGGCCAGCGTCTCTTTCGCCTCGACCAGTCTGACGCGCAGGTTCTCTATGTTCTTGCGCACGTGCTCCTGCTTTGCCTCGATGGCCGTCTTCTCATCGGCGTAACGCGCGCGCTCGGTGTGGTTGCTATTCGTGGTGAATTCGGATCGAACAATCGCAAAGTCCAGCAGTGATAGCTCGTTCATGATGTCTTTCCGCCATATCTCGATCTTGTGCGCTTGTTGCTCGCGCTCGACAGCGACTGCTGCGGCCTCTTCCTCTGCGCCTGAGGCATCCGGGGGCGGGGAGGGAAGTTGTCTGGGGCGCGCATCCTCGAAGAAGTCTGGCTTGAGTATGCGGCTGGCCGTGTTTGTGTATGGGCGTGCTTCGACAGCTAGTAGGCGGGCTACATTGTGCAGCGCATCTGCTGGAGTTAGTCGGAGCCTGGTAGTGAGTGAAAGACGCCTTACCCTCATCCGGTTGGGAAAGCAGACCCCAGTCGTTGATCGCCATATTTTCCGAATGGTCGAAGAACGGTGAGATGTTGTTTGTGGTATTGTACGTCGTCGTCGTCAAAGTCGCGATGCTGAGGTCCAAGAGTTGAATCGATCAACGCGGTTGCAGGGGTCCGCTAGCGCTTATGATCAGACGTCAGAGACCGACCACTACGCCTTCTACACTTTCACTCACTCTTCACTCTCTTCATCATTCTCCTGGTCATCGCTTCGCATCCTTCTGGCAAGCGTCACTCTTACAACCAGCTTCTTGATCCGGACTAGCCCACCAACATGCTGCCGTGAGCCCCGTGGGGTCCTCAGCCCCATTTACGGTTCACGCCGCCCTCGTTCCGCCTGTCCATGATTCACATTACATAGACAACACCCTATCAACGAACACCGACGAACCTGTCAGTAAACCACCTCTCTACGACCAAAACCCTTCAAATCCCGACCCGTTTGATCTTTGCATTTCGCCTCACAACACTATCTTACGCAACGCTTTTGGATATATCCTCCGCATAAACATCACCGTCACCATGCCCGTCGCAAGCCTCTTCGAGCTGGCTCGACAGCGCCTCATCAAGAATATCGATATGCTCCGCGACGTCGGCGATCTACCCTACTCCTTCCTCCAGCCAGTCCTCCGATTCATACAAAGCCCCGATCAGCTGCTCGAGCTCGAGGCCAACTGCCCACAACTACTCGGCGAAACGGGCGAGATATGGCTTCGCTTTATCAAGCGAGACATTCCGAACTGGGAGACGAAGCCCCATGAGCCGCGCGATCCTCGGAACTGGAGCAAGGTGTATCGCAAGTTGAAGAAAGATGCAGAACTGGAGATAGAGGCGGATAAAGAGGCCCTCAAACAGCAGATGCAAGCGCTACAGAAAGATCGCGGACAGAACAAGACCTTGATCGTCGAGACCAGGTTTGGATACGGTGCCGGCGCAAGCAAGATGTTCACTGGACGCACTACCAGCAGCTGGGGGCAACCGTCGGGTGCACCTTCAAAGACGGGCAAAGCCGCTTTCGACAAACTGAAGCGCGGCATGTTCGACCATGGCCGTGAGCGCCCGAAAGCGAGCCAAATTCCAGCACATCTTCTAGCTCAGCGAAAGACCAACGTCAGACAAGCACCAGCGAGGATGGTTCGAATGGCGGAGAATGAGGCTCCGAAAAGTATGGTAGTGTCCAAGCAAGCTTCCGCGTCCGTTTCCAAGAAGCAGGACACTCAGCCCGCGCCGTCACTATCCGCGAATCGCCCGACCATTACACAGAGGCCTGCACCGCAGCAACGCAATGCGCCGCCACCACCCGCGCGGACCTCCTTACCACCTGGGATGCACTTCAGCGCACCCAAGCCGAAGCCGACGAATGCGCAGGCAGCGGCCGATCCGGCGCCGAAGAGGAAGAGGGTAGAATACAACATGTTTCACACAAAGAAGAGGAAGATTTAGAATGTTTTTAGGGTTGATGTTGGCACGAATAATGTACCAGAGAGATGAGTACAATCAGGTGTATTGACGGTGGACCCTGTATCAGGATGTGCACGTCTGGCTTTTGATTTGGGTATCACTCAATGCTTTTGGAGTTCAGGAGCATGCCCGTTTGCGATATCAGGAGCTGCATTTATCGGCGTTGCACTTTGGGTAATCATGTCTCTTTTGGGTCTGGGACCATAGACTTCTTCCATGTCTGTACATTTATTATTACCTCTTATCAGTCCCTTTTTCGTTTCTAGGCTGTGTTGATATGTGAGGTGGTTGAGATATCGTTGGAAGACTTGAGATGGATTGATCACAAGCAAACGCGCAGTCTTGGCGCTATCAGGTGGGCGCGCGCAAGCAGTTGACACCCAACAACCGTTACCCACAAAGTCCGTCTGCGCACTTTCAATATCCGCGCTTCTCCCGCTCAATCGAGGCGCGCAAGCTGCGCAGTCAGCTGAAACGGCGACACCATGGACGAGCTCAGTGTCGCTTTCAGCGCTCTCAGTCTGCACGGCCCCAGCTTCTTCCGGATCCTTGACTTGCCTCTTGTAAGTAGTGCGCTCTGACGCACGGTGCAATGATCGTATGCTAATTGCGTTCTCAACTATCAGGAGCTGTTCAGCAGCGTCTGTGACCACTTGGACGACGACTCATTGCGAAAGACTCGACTGGGCTGTCGCACTCTCAGCCATCGTTCGGCCTTCACTTTCGGATCACGCTTCTTCACTCATCTTGTGGTGATACCCCACACGGAGAGCTTGACCGTCTTGTTGCGCTACGCTCACCATCAGAGGTTTTCGCGGTTCGTGAAGACTCTATCGATCAGCGGCGAAACCGGCCCGCCTTCGACGACTTACCCTGGCATACATGCGTCGACCGTGGAAGATATGCTCACCGAGGCGCTTCGGAGTTTCGCGAATCTGGAGACCATTCGAATAGATACCTGTTCGTATCTGCGCTTGGAACACCTTTCCTCAGAAGCGATCGATCTCCGTTGCGGCCCAGAGAGACTCCGTATGGAACAGCTTCAAGGCAGCTTCACCGCCCTGCATCACTTGATTCAAGTGATGATGAGATCTGTGGAGCGAGCTATGGTTCGCGATAAGATTTGCCTCGACTTGAGCTTACGTTTCAGAGACTGGTCTACGTTGCCTCCATCGCCCAGAGCATGTGAGCTTTTCGACCTCAGCTTACCTTATTGGAAGGATTCTTTGTCATCCAAGGTTCTAAAGCTTGAGGTCACTACCTTGGGTACCGGTAGATGGTCTCACAACCTTGCTGCTTCGTGCTCGTCATTGCAGGAACTCAGTCTGCTTCCTCATCGTGGACATGTCAAGTTTGGCAACGCCCAAGGTGGTTTGCATATTTGGCCGCATCTTCGGTCACTGGCTATCCTTGGTGGCTGTATCTGTATCACGAGTGCTGTTTTCAACGACTTTTTCAAGATGCACAAAAATACACTGGTTCGTATTACACTAAAGCATGTCTCTTTGCAGAACGAGTCCTGGTCAGGAATGCTACAGACTATCTACGGACTACCGGCTCTACAAAACATATGCTTTGCTTGGCTGAGTCAGCGTATAGCCTATCCAACACTAGAACCATGTTCGGATAGAGTGTCGACATGTCGACAGGGGGTCGCATGTAGCAACCGATCAGATGTTTTGCTCGTCATGGGAGCCTTGCTTCCAGATGCATACACCTTCGAGTTCGGCTACCGTGACGGCATTAACTATCAGATTGACTTCACACTGGCTAACGCTGCTCTGTTGTCCGCCTGGTCGGTCGCTTTGTCAACTGATTCCCCATCCACTCCGTGGTCGAAGTTGCGGGAGGACCTAGAGAGAGTATGGCACGGAGATAGGAATATCCTTGCGTGGTTGTAGCACCAAAATGATAATCAAGACAGATACTGTGACTGTAAATTGTGGGTATGCCACGTAGCTTCGCCAGACACAGGATACTGAGGCAGCTGGTCAGAAGTCAAGCAACGACTCCGGCTATCAGAAAGCAAGCTACGTATGCATTGCCGTTGCGGGCAGGGAATGGCTTGAGAAGACAATGTACGCAATAATAATTACATAGCCTACTTTATCTCGTAGATGACTAGGTGACGTGTCTTCCATGAATTTTCCTAGGCACCAGGAATGCTCTCCGCTGCTAGCTTCCTCTGTCGTACCTTCTCTCACATCAGGTTCAGGCTTAGCGTAAAAGCGCACGACCCGGGTGTTGACAAACGGGCAAGAGCGTCTCGCTCACACGATCCCTCACCTCACATCGACGCAGACTCGGCGACCTCGTCTCCTCCATCGCTACACATGTGCTGGCAGTGCATCAAAGACAGGGTCACTGCTAGTGAAAGGGCAAGGGCAGCTCTCGCTAGAGCGTCCCAGCCACCCTTTCGACTACTTGACCTCCCCGCTGAGATCGTAGGCAGCGTCTCCGACCGCCTTGAGGATACTGACCTTCTCAATCTACGTCGCGCATGTCGAGCACTCAACGCGCACTCGGCCAACGCATTCGGAAAACGGTTCTTCCATCACCTCATCGTCATCCTACATCCTACCAGCCTCACGACGCTTCTCGAGATCTGCCATCATCCTTTGCTATCTAAGCATGTCCGCAAGATCACTGTAAGTGGCGAACGCATCGGACAGAGCATAAATGGAATCGAACAACAAGACCTCCACATGGATCTGCAAGTCAGCGTCGAGCGCTCGGGCATGGATACGTTGACTCTCAAAGAAGCCTTCCGGGAGCTGGAGAATCTAGAGATGGTTCGAGTTGATGTCGTCAGTTTCTATCATCTCGACCCGGAGCCAACAGACGACGGCATCAGGTGTGGACGGGCCCACATCATCCCGGCAAAGCTCCTCAACCCCCCTGCTTCACGTGAGAGGCACGGAGACAGCGGTAAGAACCGAGTATACGATTTGATCCCAAAGATTCTCCTGGACGCCGGTGTACATGAGAAGGTCGGTTTGCAGTTTGAGTTCTGGAACACGGAATATTCTAACGAAGATCTGGTGACATTCCTGGATCTCGATTGCGAAGTCTGGAAGTGTCAGCTATCCAGACGAGTTCACTCGGTAGGTGTCCTGGGCCAGGTGGATCTTGATTGGCTGTGCCGACTGCTCAGTGCAACCTCAAGTCTGCGCAGATTCGTGTTCGGGGCTGACAATCATTTCATGGAATTGTCTTATCAACCAGTTGGACCTTTCCATTGGCCTGGATTTTCACATCTTCACCTAGAAGACGTGTTCTTTTCACACACTGACTGGACCAATTTCCTTCGCACGCACGCCAGTACACTAAGAAGCCTGTCATGCTCATCCATAGGCTTTCCAGAAGGAGAATGGACCGAGCCGTTACAGATCATCGAGACAATGCCGCGAATCGAATACCTGTGGCTTGTCAAGTTGCTCGAGAAAGCACCTTATCCACATTCATCGATGACTGTGAGACGCTGGAGCCGAGAAGATGACGGGGTCTTGCTACTCTCGGACCCAGAAGATGTCCAACTTGCTCTGAGTGCGATGCGCAGTCAGCCGAGAACGGTGTTCATGGGCGCTGGCATCAAGAGCGAGGCGGGTGAGGTCTATCCCCATAGGGTTTCCTTCGATGTTGGTGAAGCAGCGCTGGCAAGAGACATCGTCTATCAAAATGGTGAATGGACGTTCGCCGACACATTTCCAGAATTTTAAGAAGCTCTTCGGCACCTGAGCGAACGCGGCGTTCGGGCATGTTCATGAGACTTGTGGCACTGGAACAGAGTTGCAGAGTAACACCTTCATTCACTTCGTGCTGCTCATAAGACGGACATGCACATGTCAATTCAAATACATACCTAAGCTACACACTCTTAATGCATGCCTTTTTCTTCATGTCGTCGCAGCTCCATGCCGCCGAGTTCAACAGGCGGTTGTTCAATTTCCACAGGTTCGTGTTTGTATGCCACCGCTCCTGGTCCCAACTCCTGAATATGCTTTGCGTGGACCTCGTATGGCGTCACGCTCGTAAGCTCCGTAGAACCTGACATCTCCCGTGGGCGTGACGAATGCCGCCTCCTCATGATGAAGAACACCGCTAATCCAATTATTATGCCCAGACCTATGCCTCCTCCGACTGCTGCTCCCGCTATCGCGCCCGTCGACAAGCCTGAGGAGCCTGGGGGAGTGGGTGTGGACGATGGGGTCGATGTAGGCGTAGGCGTGGATGTGGCAGATGGTGATTCACCAATGGCGCCGGCGTCGCAGAAGTCGATACTGTAGTATACGAAGGTCGAGTTGTAGCAGTCGATCGGTTGGATCTCTTCTTGGAAGCCGGAGCATATGTCGACCGTCGTATCGTTCATGTAAATGGTCACTGCGCGCATTGTTAGCATGGCCGTCCAAGGCTATCGCGTTGAGGTCTCGCGAGGTAACATGCCTGTGCATCCTGGGTCCAGGCCGACGACCTGGAAGCTGCCGTAAGGCCCATTGCGCCTGAGATCTGTGCAGGTACCATTAGGATAGCCATTTGGACCCTCTAAACCTCGCAGTGACTCTTGGCAGTTATCATCCTCGAAGAGCGCTATCTGACTCGTTGCGAAAACGCGAGCAGCAAGTGCTGTCAGGAGGAGGAAGAGACGGTTATGCATCATCGCGTCGGCGCGCGGTACGTTAGCCGCAAATTGGCTTTGACGAGGCGGCTAAGCAGACAACCAGAATACGAGGGCGCCGGATCATTTCATAGCTGTTATAACCACAGCGAGTGTACGGAGCTGACAACTGATAAAGATGCAAGGCAACCTGGAGTTAGTTGCCCAGCTCTTGGGGGTCGTATCCATCATAGCTTCACAGGCCTGACCACTCCTTTCCTGACCTGGCATGCAGGATGCGGCATGGGTAACGTAGGCAGCGAATCGAGGCGAGGCTCTAGATTGCATGAAAAGCCACGCTGTGTTCCTGCGGGCCCACAGTGCGGCTGAGGCACTGATATCTTTTTCAGGGCTATTAGCTGTGCTGCTGTATCACAGTGGATGTTATCCGATTGTGTGCGATGATCGTCCTCTGAGATGTTGCTGGTGTCGCGACAGCCTGCGCGCGTGCAATGAGCCCACACGTAAGACGGCCCCTGTCATTGTGGATTAACAACCGCTTCAAGTATACAACGAAGGATTGACTGTTCCCGCAGATGGCTTACTGATGGTCTGTAAAGGAGCGCCAAGTTGGCTTGGGAAGAATGCGGGTACCCGTTCCGCGGCGAAAATTTGGGGGCCACGGAAAGAGCCGTGGGGCCATGACTGTGTGATTCATCCAAGGCTCCATGTCGCACTGCAGGAGAGCTACGTACAACACCATCTTCGATACTCAGATTCTACCATGTCTTCGGGGAAGCAGCCAAGGACCCTTCTGTTTGGTGCCGGTAGCGTCGGAACTGTATACTTGTACCTGCTCAGCAAGGTAGCCGCGACCACTGCCGTCTGCCGCTCGAATTATGAGGTCGTAAAAAAAGATGGCTTCATCATCAATTCATCCATATTTGGTCAAAACCTCCATTTCAGACCCAATGTAGTCCGAGACTGTGGAGAAGCAGCGTCTCAATCATCAGATCCATTTGACTACATCATCGTCTGCAGCAAGGCTATCCCGGATACGGTACCGAAGCTCATCGCTCCTGCCGTCACACCTGGACATACGGCTATCGTACTTATTCAGAATGGTGTCGGTATCGAAGAAGAATACTCGAAGGCATACCCAAACAACCCGATCATCAGCGCTGTCGTCTATATGCCCGCCACCCAACGGCCAGCCGGCGTCATCAAACACGGTGAAGTCGAGAAACTTCAAGTCGGAGCCTATCCTTCTTCTGCACCAAGTAAAAGTGCTAAAGCGTTCACGGAACTTGTCACAGCAGCCGGTGCTACAGCGGAATTCTACGAGGACGTTCAGCAGAAGCGATGGATGAAACTACTTGTCAACGCATCCTGGAACCCCATGTGTGCCCTCGCTCTCAGCAAAGACACAGATATCTTGACTGCCTCGAAAGAGGCCAACGGTGTTGTACTAGCTGTGATGCTTGAGATTCGCGACATCGCAGCTGCCTATGGATACGAGATCACGCGGGAACAGGTGGACAATCAGCTTAGCCGGGCGCAAGCCAGGATCCCAACGAACGCTGGAATTGAACCTAGTATGCTTCAGGATGTTCAGTCGAATCGCAGAATAGAGGTAGAGGCTATCGTGGGCAACCCCGTTCGCATGGGTAAGGAGAAGGGTGTGGCGTGCGTACGTTTGGAGATGCTCTACATTCTCGCAAAGGCTTTAGATCTTCAGATTGGACGGAGGCCTTGAAGTCGGAAGCTACATTGCGATATGGATCTGTAGGTAAAGTCTCATCAACCACGCACCTTCCGGCTTCAACTGGATCTTATTTCTATGGTCCTTCCCACCGACTTGAGCGAACGCCATGTTCCATAAACACCTCGATCCGGGGGTCTCTCCTTCCACTGGCACTATATCCTAATCAAACATATTCTTCGTATGTGATAATAGCGTTCTGGCGGATAGCGAGTCTCGTCGCTGTCCCTTTCACTTCTCGTCCACCGCCGGTATCGCGCCAAGCCTTCCGTTTGTCCAGCGCTCCGCATCGCAATTCGCGACTCACCACCGCTTTTTCAAAATAAATCGTCATCATTTCCACAGTGACCAACGATAGGCACGGACCTAGCCACAATAGCAGTCAAAATATCTTTTGCCCACACACAAAGCGATACAAACCCTCAAAACACCCGTCCTGCTTCATTGCTCTCAGTTTCCAAACCAAACACTCCAATTCTTTCCCATCGCAGCTACCAACATAATCTCCTCTATTTGAAGATACCCAAAATCTCATCATACCCTACTTTGCGAGCTCACCTGCCGCACGCTATACCGACAAGATGCGCACTGTCACCATCGCCCTTCTTTGCTTTCTCTTGCTAGTAGCCCTCGACATCGGCCGCGTCGTCGCATCATCTGAGTTCTTTCCGCTTGTTGTTCGCAGCCTCCAAATCGCTGTCTCATACCTATACTGGGAGATTTGCTGGGAAGTCTACTATCAGTGCACCCACAACTTCGAAGGAGTTCCCCTCTACCTCCGCTTCATCACTTCTCATCTGCGTCTACCTTACCTTCGCCCTATACGTATATATCAAGTATACCTACTGGATAGGCCCTCATTCCGAGGCCGACCAAGACGACCTCCATGATCCTGCCGAAAAGGGACAATCGCAAGAGACGAAGCTCCCTGTCACTCCCACCATCGCTCACATCACACCGCCGCCCGTCGCACTACCACCTGCCAAGCCAGCGCCTCCCTCATACCCACCACCGTTCGAGTACCCCTTCACCAACTTCCGCGGCACCGGTGAGTCGTTCGCACACTCCGATCGACGCAACCCGACACACTATTCCGTTCTTCAACTGCCGACTTCTTGGGGCAATACCCGTCGCAAAGAACGCGATTACTGGCGGTCTGCACCTAGGCAACCATCACCTGCCTATAGGTCTACCGAGCACGAGAAGGTCGCCGCGGCACCTACCATACCGAAGCCAGAAGTTCCTCAGTCCACTACCAGGTCGAAAACTACTATCACGAAGGATCACGTAGTCATCGCGCCTGCCCATAAGGTTGTCGAGCTACCTCCGATATACACTCTTACCCAACCCCCACCTACCCTCCCATCAGCTCCCTCGATCGACCCTCAGCTAAAGGCTTTGCGAGATGTGGAGGATAAGAAGCATCTGGTTGTTGCTGAGATGAAGTCCTTCCTAAGTACCATCGGTACTGATGCCGGATGTGAGGCACCAGCTGCTCAAATCTTGGCCTTGATGGTTGCAGCGAAAATGCACCTGATGCCATTCTTCCCAGGAGGGCTTTCTAGCCTTGACCGGGATTTCTTCATCTGGAAAGACGCAATTGTCGAGTTCTGGTGCCGATTTCGGCCATATGGGTGGGAGATCCGAGAGGATGAAGATGGGAGGCTGCGAACATTCCTTCAGCTGTACAGAGATACTGCCATCTGGTTGGGGTTGGAACACCATCTTGATGACCTCACAGTTATCGCCAAGCTAGCTCAGCCTCCCGCGTCAAGTACGCAAGATCTCCAGCACCCAAGATGGGGACGCTGTCCGCCATCCCCACCACCACTGTGTACCTCCCCGCCCCCGTCATCCCGACGGCTCCGCAGCCGCAAAAGGCACCGAGTACCTCCGCGCCTATCCAACAGACACCTCCCCAGCAGCCGATAGTGGCCCAAGGTGCAACAGCCCTCATTGACTTCGGCAATGAAGATTGGTTCGGCCTGCCGGATGATCAGCTCAAAGAGCTCAAATGGAGGTCATTCAACTGGCCTAATCAGCAGACCGCCAGCTTGAAGATATGGCACTTCAATGTACTGGAGCTCACCCAGTTACCTACGCAGCACCCAGAGTTCATCATGGCCTCATATGTGAAGGCAGAACTTGAGAAAGCGGCACCCCTCCTCAAACGCGCTTCAGTCGTGTTTCGACTCCAAGGTCGTAGATGCCCGTGGCCTGCCGACCTTGAAATGGCACCATTGTTAGGCAGATTGGGACTCTCGGGACGAATGGTACAAAGCCTGCCAGTACCTCCATGAGAATGTCTTCAAAGACAAGAGGGTCTGGGCATCGCTATGCAATCGTTACGACTCCGATGACCCGGATGAGAACGACAAGGAGGACAAGACTGGTCCTCTCAGGAGGTTGTGGGAGAAGATGGCGCCGACATGGCTTCCAGACATCGCAAAGCCTTGATTCCGACGTCGTTGTATACGTCTCACACCATCATCAGCTGTCATACCGACGGCCTCACAGTCTTCAAATACCTCCTCGGTACTTCACGCCGTTTCAAACTTCGCCCACAACATGGGTTGTAGTCCTCAACACCTCTCTTGTCTTCCCAGTTATACATAGAACGCACCAATGTCACCATATTAAGCAGTGTTATTCCAAGTGAAATGTGTATTAATGCTCACTCCCTATCTAAGACAATCGAAGGAAAAGATGTTGTACATTTCTAAGAAACCAAGGCACAACTATCGTTGAGGTTATACATTATTCGCGCCATGCCAAATGAGAAGCGACGAAAGGCGCTTAGGCGGAGGGGGTAGCGGGAGCCTCAGCAGTGGGGTTGACGTCGGAGCAGATGAGAGCCTGGCCGAGGATGGGGATGAGGCAGCACTTGGCCTGCTGGCCGGACTCAGCGCATCCGTCGATGAACTGGTTGATGCTGGTGGGGGTGGTGGTGGCTGGGAAACTGTTAGTGATCATGTTTTTGATTGGAAAGAAGATGGGAAGGACGCACGAGGAGCGCAGTCCAAGTTAGCGAGGTTCAGGACATCGGTGGCGCAGCAGACGGGGTTGCCGGAAGAGCAGAGGCCAACCTGGCGCTCGTCAAGGGGAGCAGCGAAGGCAGCGGTGGCGGCGAAAGCGACAATGGCGGTGATGGTGAACTGCATTTTGAAGGTTGGTTGGGTTGGTTGGTTCTTGGGAAAGAAGAAGTTGTTGGTTTGGAAGTGGTGTTGTAGAGTTGTTGGTGTGAGTTGAATGTGTTGGATGATGTTCAATTGTCGAGGCATCGTTGCCCTCTTTATACCTTCTCAGTCCTCATCTTGTTCAAGGTTCATTCCAAGTACACGCTTCATTACATTGCCATCGTCATCAAACACCGGCATACCCAGGCTACGATCGTCATCGACGCCAGGGGAATTAGCTGACAGCCGGGAGCGCACGTCCATAACGGTCAAAATAACGGTGACAGGTCCACCTGGCGTCCCCAACTTCTTCATGGCGAGTCTGCACCCGGCCAAGAATGACGTCGATCTCAGCTGGTTTGGCTCTGTGGTACCTGGCTGATCATGCTGACTGGTTGGTACCGAGGGTGGAGTATCCGTTAGGGCTGTTGATCTCGAAACCTGCACGGCTGGAGTTGCTGTCGCATGAAGAATGGATACTGTGGAACGTAGATCGATATCGGAGGTATAGCCATTCAGGGCAGGGATCAGATGTCGAACGCGAACATACTTACACATTGGGCATCTTTTCGCTGCCCCTGGCGCGTACATTTGCTGCAGGGTGTCCTGGCTGTATGCACGTTATCCACGTCAAAGGCTCTCATAGGGTTTTGTGGCTGCCCCAGACTATGCCATAGGGTGGTCGGACACCCTCCACGAGTTGAGGCTTCAGCGCCAGTGACGTACCCTGAGCTGGGGTACCGGCTACCGGAGCGCTCGTTCACAGGCGCTGCATAAGGCTCATCTCCGAGCCTCAAGTTCACCAAGTCAAACGCTTGTGGGAGTGGTCTGAGTGCGCGTAGACCGCCTGAACGGCACCTAGCATGAATGTGTATTCATGCGAATATGAGAATGTGTACACGATCGTCGTCTTGCTTTGATCGATCGACTTGGTGGAGGCGATGCTTCATCGTCACCCACACCACGCGTTCATTCCAACCTTGAAAATCTTTCTTTAGCAACCGGCAGATTTACCAGAGCTGACCCATGACAAGGTGTGGCAAACAGCTGTCAAAGAACTCAAGCGCCTCAATACGCCATCCGATGATGCTAGAGGTAGGTGTGACGAAGTCCAGAAAAGCGATCGAAACGTGGGGCTAAGGGGTTTAGCAAGGGTATTGGCGAATGGGAATCTAGAACCAGCTTCCAAGGAAGCCCTGTAACACGGTGGAAAACCTGGTGATGGTTCGGCTAGCGTTTGATATAGCACAAGGATGGGAATCTATAGGTACTCACAAAGTTCAAACGACAAAGGCTGTCAAATTGTGCGAACTCTCGCAAGGCTGACGTTTACATCCGTAATATCCGTTAGAGTTTGGATGAGGCCATTCGCAATTATCTGGTCAGCACAACGGTACCTGCAATCGGACCTAAATGACGAAAGACCATGTCCATCTCAGGAGACGTTGTGAAAATGTATGGAACGGAACGTTGCATGCCCAGGCGGCCGTTAAGCCCCACTTGACCGCGCCTTGCCTGATCCTGGCGTGACAGCCCGAGCAGCCGACCTCGCTTGCATCGATCTACGTCACAACAAAGACCCGGTTCCTGACAACGCAGCAAGATCTGAACAAGTCGTGCAGGACGATTTACATCATTTTGCTATCGCGCAGCCAATCGCGACAAACACTTCATTTAACTGAAGTGCATTCTTTGAGGCGAAACGCATTCTTCCACGCGATCCTGCCAGCCTATTTACGCGAGGGCGGCGAGGCTGATGGCCTAGTGCGTGTGGTGGCGCAGGGTCGACGAAACTCAGGAGCGGACGTGACAGCTCAAGGCGGTAAGTACAGCACATGCAGCGCGTAGTGGAAGGGCCAGAAGCAATGCGACGCCATGGTACTGAGATGCTCGCGCATTGCGATGGAATGTGGCCATGTGCCAGATGTGCCAGGGACATTTGCGACACACCAGGAAGGGCACGGCCATGCCCCCGAAGCTCTTCGGTATCCGCCAACAGTCACCGCTCTCCTCATGTTGTTCTAGAATGACCCCAGGGTCAGATTCTAATCGACCTCTGCAGTCAGACTGCTACTACAGACAACACTACATTCGACGGCGTGAATGTCAACTTTGAGTTTGATTGATCTGGCGCTTGATCGGGTCTACAAACGCCACGATGCCGCTACGGGGCGACTAAGATCTCGAACCAACACCATAGCAAAGTGGACGACGATAGCCGATTACTGACTACAGTAGCAGCATCTGACCGCTTATTTGACAATTCTAATAACCCTTCTGGCGACTACCAAAGTACATGTAGAGACTTGTAAATGGTGTCCTTCACCGCTACTCAAACTGTACTTACGGATACTGATATCCTCCATACCTACTGCCCTTCTTGCTATAGAAACAGCCCTGTTCTCTTTCTTTTGGTCAACATGGCTTGCAACAAGTGCAAGTGAGATTTCGTCAGCCTTAGATTCTGCTTTCAACCATATTTGCCTCTTCAAGTTCCGAATCGCCATCGTGGTTTGGGCGACTCCAAGACTCTGAATGAAGGCGTCGCAAAAACTATCGCTAATGAGCTTGCATCTGGTCGTGATTACATAGGTTTACATCTGACCTAGAAGCCTACGATCGTCAAGAAGCAGATAATCCAATAGATCTGCCCTGATTTATTGCTACATCGCAACGAAGAATAAAGTAGGATGAGCTTGACAAACGAGTACAGCAGCTGGGTTTGAGGTCTCGAAGCTCTCTTTACACGGGCAGCTTCTGATTGGGATGTCGAGCATACCCAGGCGCTCAAGAATAGCATACGTTTTATGTAAATTCTAGCAATCTCATCATTTCGATACTCCGTTTCGCATCCATACCACGACTGCGTTGACATTACGCCGTATTATACCAATGGACCTGAGGCGTAGTTGAGTGTTTGAATCGATTCGGGCCGTTATGAGTCGTGCTCGCTGATAGTCCTGCGCCCCGCCTTTCCATAGTCACGTGCAGTGGGAAATAGGTCTAGCGGCGCTCGGCAGGGTTTGCCCGCCTTCTTATTTGGAGCTATACGAGCTGCGGCAGCACCAGGAACCGCCATCGTCGCACTCAGGCACCCCACCCATCACAGAACGCGAACATCGAGCGCTTCTCTGCCTCGAATCGGGTCACATCATGTCGGGTCTCAACGAGCCACAGACCTTCCTCGCCAAGTACACCTTGTACAAGCGAGCCACCGAATACATTGCAGGATGGATTGCCGAAACCGCCGCGTCCATCGGCTTCGAAGTCAAAACGAAAGAACAAAAACAGACAAAGTCGAGATCTAAGTCGAAAAAGGGCGCGGGCAGGAAAGGCAACCAGAATGCGAAAGGTGGAGGTGGTGGCACAGTATACCAACTCGGAGTATCGGACTTTGTACCCATGGCAGAAGCGATAGCAAAAGCTGGAGAAGAAGCAGAGTCTGAGATTATGGTCCCTGTTGCTTTATGCAGGCACTTCAGTCGCGCCATTCAGACACGTCGGAAGGTCTCGCAATGGTACAAGGCGAAAGTCAACCCGGATACAAACAGTGACCTGCGGCACGAATATTTCATCAAGGTTCTCGAGGACACCTTCGCATCCCTCAAGCCATTCCTCGGGTCGGGCGGACCAGAAATCGCACGCAACAATGGTTCCGCTACTAATGTGGCTGACTTATCTTCACGCAATCGCTTCGCGGGGCTGACCGTCGATGAGCTCGTGGCACTAGCCGACGAGGAAGATATTGCCGAAGATACACTCCCTGACGTATCTAATGTCACGCTCGAGGAAGCTGAGGAAGACAAAGAGGACGACTTCTGGATTGCTGTTGCGCTTATGCTACAGGAGCAACAGGACATGAGGGAGGTGGTCCGTGACAACTGGCAGAAATACAAGAGCGGCAAAGTCGACTTGATTGTGGCAGCCATGACCACGGATACGGCTATTAAGCTTGCTCAAAGTGCGGAGGCGAAGTTCGACTTGCTAGTAACACGACCGAAGAAATATCCAGTCACGGAGTATCCGGTCTGGACGCTCCCCGCCGTTCTTTTTTACAACAACCACGAGGATATGCACAAGTGGTCTCTCGCGGAGATTGCAAAGCCTTCCACCAGGCTTGGCGTTACAGCGGACGCCCAGAGTGAAGCACATTTCGACTTCTGGCCGGTCTTCGCTGGCTTGAAGTTCTACCTCCACAAGCACATGACAAAAAAGAACTCGATTCCGCAAGTGATGCCGAAGGACTTCGGCGATGCCAACATCCACAATCGAACATTCAGAGCAATCGAACATTCAGAGCAATCGAACATGCCCAAATCATGCGGATCGTCGCGAAAGCAGCCAAACGCCCACCACTGCTGGATATGGTCTCCAAAGGTCTATTGGACATGTTTACCGAGCACAAGATCCCAATGTGGCTTACATATGGCGTCCAGCTTCATTTCGACTCGCAAGACATCATGGGCGAGATGACCAACCGACCGCATTTTGAACTTCAGGTCTACCTGAACCATCTAATGGGAGTAGAACAGGCCATTACGAATAACTGGGAGGATCCGATGATGCCAGACAATATCCAAGATGAATGTTACAAACCTTTCAGAGAAGCATACAACGACATCAGTTCCTGGGCCAACCATGACGGATTTGCCGAACAATGGCAACAGCTTGCGCAAGATCCAAAAGTCAATGGACACCCCATCTTCGGGATGATGAAGAAAAAAGCGTTCTAAATATATAAGCACCATCCTTTGCTCAACGGCATGTTGAAGTACCACTTTCTCGTTCACTGGCACGCGGCTGGCCTGTCACACGAAGCAACTTCATGTTCTCTTCTTTTCATGGCTCATGTTTATATGGGGACACAGCTGAGAAGCCCTTCCGACCCAGTGTGGCCCGACATGGAGTTCATGCTCTTCAGCCAGGATCCCCGATACGTGTTGATCAAGAGACCACCCGAGTCGCCCGAGGAAGCACGGACTCTCTTCGATCTTGCTACTGGCCAGCCCACGCTCAAGCAGGTGCAATCATATACCTTTGATCGTCTGGACCTTAGCCGTGGAGATCTAGGCCGGCCTAGATATGATCCCACTAACAAGTCTCGACTGTTCAGAGATGCAACCGTGTTTGGAGAGACTGTCTACTTGCCGCGCGGTGCTAGTGGCTGTTGGATCAAGAAGATACCCGGTGGAGCCTTTAACGGGAGAATCGACACCATTACTACGGCACTTCTCGAAGCTTCTGCTCCTGATGCAACCCGTGGCCGTCTCGCGCGCGCGATGCAAGCCTCTCAAGAGCAGCAGGGACTAAAACTGGAGCCTAGTAACGGCAGAGACGGACTCACATCTGTTGCTATTCTGGAACATTTTGCTTTCTGGCTGCAGGCTGACTTGCCAGATCTTTATTTCAACGGAACGTTGATGCAGCGGCAATGCTCAGATACGTGGAAAGCCATCTACGCAGCGCTCGAGAACGACCCAGCTTGGGATCCGTCTTTCTCAGAAACCGGACGATCGCCGCAACATGCAGCGAATACCATCATTACTACGTCCCTAATCGAAGGGAAATATCCTCGGTTCATGGACATAGCGCGCAGAGTGATGCGCAATCATCTACGGCAACAGGAAGAAAACTATGAGAGCGCGCAAAGCGAGGTATGCTTGAAGGATTTGACGAAGTACCACAAAGGAGCCGCCAGGCTCTTTACGGATGATGGACCTTTGAATGTGGACAACTTGTACAAAGGTTGGTCGCAGGAGCACAGACAACAGAGGAAGCATAATTTTGCGGCCGCTGCCGCACAGGCCGAGGTCACAGCTGGGAATGCCGATTTGCAAGAGATGTTCCAAGCACGGGCGATGCAAGCCATGAGTTCGATGATTACGGGCGGCGCGGCCGACCAGTGTATGGTGATGTAACGCATCATCGAAATTTCAACGTGTTTTGCATCGCGCGTAATCACCCTATGCTTCGAACCTTTAGGAATGTCACGCTTCTCAGTATGCGAGTTGTTATGGTGACGTTACGTGAAAGACATTACCCAGCATCCTCGACGAGGCAGCACCCTGAGACTAGCCGTTTTGGGACGGCTGCCTGAAAGCCACAACACAGTAAGGAGTTGCAGCCTTGCTCACGGGCGTTTGAAATGGAATATAAAACTCACAGTAAGACGACATGAAAATGACATTCAGATACATCGCGACGTCTCTTGACAAAATTTGACGTTATATTCCTATTCCTGCACAACATCACCGAAACACTCTACCAACGATCCTCCGATCGCATCAAAATGGCACCAATTTCAACCCCTCTCAATATCACTAATGTCGCAGACGGGGAAACGATCCATCAGGTATGGTGCAATTCCTATGTTGACCGTCTATAACTAACACGTACGACAGCGCTGTCTCCTAGTCACGGGTACCTATGCGCTTACCGCTGCTGAAGGGAGTTACATCCATGTTGCTACCAAAGGTGCAAACAAGGCCGACTCCTTTCCCGAGCAGACGTGGCCGATAGCAGGCGGTAACTTCAAGGCTCTCGTTATGCTCTCGCCAGGGCAGAACGTCCTGGAATTTGCCTACGTCTGCAATGACTGCCTTGAACACACCATCGAGTTAAACGTCAACTACATCCCGCTCTTGCAGTACCCGCCTCTTCACCTCGCTATCATGGTCGCCGCAGACTCGCCATGCCTCATCGACTGTCCACCTTCAAAGGCTGCGGGGATTTCTTCGACGCACTCAGACCTTGATGCAGCTATCGCCAAGCTGCGCATGGCGGCTTACATGTGGCAAGCTATGACCGCAGAAGATTTGAGGCTGCAAGGTGCTGGGCGTCGATCGTTCAGGCTGGATGAGGAGTGGGCCGCGGACACGATCAGTCGCGACTTCCTCAATGCGCGCGTTGAAGAGGCTCTCGACAGGGAAGGTGCCATGCGATCGACTGCCAAAGTCAACGTTATTCGCTCTTCCAGGACCATCAAGGACATCCGTAATAAAGAGGTCGCGCAACAGAACCCTAACGCACGTCGTGATAATGACTTATTCGACTGGTTTCTGGATGCGCTCAAGGAGCAAGGAGGCCCCTTCGCTTCCGATGCCCGACCCATCATTGCTGGGTTGATCTTGGACTCGCACTACAGCGTCCCGCAGAAGCTGATCCTCGGGCACGCAGCTCTGGGTTGCCATAACCCTGACGGAATCTCACTGGGTATGTTTGGTAGCCACCTGACCTACTCCTGGCCGCGCTTCTTGGAGGAAGTTACAGGCTGTCTTACAGACGTCCGTGCACCTGGAGACAAAGTAGGCAATGACAACGGCCAGTGCAACACTATGTGGGAAGCATGCGCCATCGGCCAAGGCGCTTTTCTCCATGAAATCGGTCACGCATTCGGCTCGCCTCACCGCTCTGGTATCATGGAACGTGGATATGCGCAAGACTGGCCCAAGAACTTCCTCCCTCAGACCGCGTACTCTGGGCACCTCAAAACAGAAGGTGTGCTCGTGGATCCCCACAACACACCCAACAAAGCTCGTTGGAACCTAGCCGATGCGCTCTCGTTCCGCATGCTGCCTCACTTTCGCCTGCCTATTGACCCCATAATCAGCGGCGAAGAGCGACATGCTTCGCCCGAGGCCCACGCTGAGCACACCGACAATGAAGGCCCGACGAAACTCGTCATCAGCTCAAGCAGCGGCATCGTACGATTTACTTTCAATCGTACAGAGACAACCCAGCCCCTCGGCTGGACTCACAACGCACCGAAGCGCATTGAATATACGGAATCATCTCTCGAAGAGCGTTTCGATCGATCACAAGCCCTCCATCTCAACATCCTCGCCTACAATGGAAAGGAGACCAACATCGGCAACGTTTGGAAGCTCCTCGCCAGCAGATCATACATCCGCATCCCAGGCTCCGAAATCCGACTCGCCAAGCGCCTAGCCTTCCCCGATGAGTCCGATACTCGTCGGTACGAATGGGCGCAGCTCCTCCATGAGAAGGGCAAGGATGGAAACCTGCACCGCGCCGTTTCCATCGATCTAAGGGTCGGATGTCTATGGGATGGCGGCGTGGTGAAGTATGCAGATGGTCACACGAGTCACTGGGGACCCATGCGTACATACGGCCGTAAACACCAATTCGGTGGTCACGCTTCCGAGAAGATACGTCTTCCCGAGGGGGTGGAGATTAGTTCCGTTGAAGTCGTCCCTAGGGATGGTGTGAGGCTACATCTTAGCGACGGTACCAGCGCGGGCGAGCTCAACGCGAGGCGTGACTCGGACATTGTGAGGCTGACACCCAGCCCTGATGAGATTATTGTGGGGTTCTTTGGCAAGAGTGGGAGGGGAGGTTTCTGCGGCGTTGAGGAGTTCGGCATTATCACTGTGAAGAGAGATGTCGGGATTGCGGGGTTACCGGATAGTGTGTGGGACTTGGATGAGTTGAAGAACACGAGTGGGATGGATGGTGATGAGGACGATGAAGAGGAGGAATACCGATACGACGATGATGATGAGGACGAAGACGAAGAGATGGACTACGACGATGATGAGTGAGCGCGTCAGTTTGCAGTCCTGAAGAGCCCACAGTGCTTCGTTATCGGGGTGAAGTGAGCACCGTGCTTGAGCGCCGCAGTGTGGTAATATTAGTGTACCTGTCCCAATTTCTCCACATCTAGACGTGTAAGCGAATCGATCCACAAATCAGGCTGCCTCATCGGCAGTAAGACTAGATGATGTGTACCGAGATATCCATGCGATTTACACTTAATGTGTGTCCGATCATGTATGAGGATGCGGTGGTGAAAAGACACAGTGGCAACGAGACGAGGGTCTCGGCTCAAGACCAAGTGGTCTAGTCCAGCAACAAGGCGAATCTTCCCCAGATCACATGAAAAGTCAGACACGTCCCCGGATTCTGCCAGGACAGTCCGGCGAGCGCTCGGCTGGGTCCCGGCTCCCATGTCTCAGCGCAACGGTAGCACCACTCTTGGGCTCGTCCTGGAGTGCATAAGGCTGAAGAACCTGGGGTCTAGTTTTATGCTACGTTCGGTACGTGACTAATAGTAGGTGTTGCTTTCGACGTCGATGATGATGCTGCGGTGAGAAAGCTAGCTGTGAACGTGCCTGATGTTGAAACCTCTTAGCCGCGTGAGATGGTAAACTCCATCGGATTTTGGTATGTGTCCTGGACGTATAGGCGGTATCGATAGCTTGCTACGCTGGCTGGTTGCTTCCACTGGCCGCATAAGATGTGCAGGAACTGGGCTCTCACGATGTGATAGTCGCGCGAATCTGGTAACAACACTACCTAAGTAGAGCGTGATGCGCCTTCAAGCCATGCAAATAAAAGTCTGCGGCATTTGACTCAGCATGACCAAAGCAGATCTCTACAACCACCGGCTGGGGAAAGGGGTGAGTTGAATGCGGTGACATGCGACGGAGTCATGATAGGCCTGATGAGGTTTCCCGATGGATGAAGTCTGACACGCTCGCCGCCAAGGCCGTGACCCGACGAAGGGCCGGCCCTCTCGCTATTCCCGAAACGCGTCCGCCGCCACAAAGTACCCCAAAAAAGATACTGCTAAGCTGCAGAATTTTTCTGCTGGGAACATACGGAACGGCAAAGCTACACATTCCACACGGTAATCCCGCGATAAGCATTGCCGCTTGGCCTGTCGCGCTCAAGGCGACGCGAACTGGCGGCGCCGACCCGCTCGTAGCCGACGTGATCCTGGCTCGAAAATTTCGATCATGCTACTGTCACGGTTCAACTTCTGCATCTTGCGCGGCAAAACGACTCTGTTGCCCGCCAAGTGGACCGACGATGAAAATTTGGACGGTCGACTGGCTTTCCAGAGCGTGGAGTACGCCGACGGCTAACATGATGGCTCATGGAGTCTTGCGCCATGACTCCACTTTCTGGAGTGGTGGGTAACCGTGGTTTGATTGAAATATCGTTTTCGTCCCTGGCTCTTGCGCACTTGACATCTATCGTATACATCACAGCTTCGTCGTTGTTGTTCTTACCCTGAACCTCAAGCCCCACCCCAGGGTCCTTCGCCAATACCACCACCAATATGGCATCCGCCTCTGAGGAGATCACGCCCAAGATGGACCAGCGGTCGGACAAGTCGGTCCCGCACTCTTCGAGCGACGTCGAGAAGCAGGCCGCACCCCCCAAGGATGAGCTTCAGCGCAAGCTTTCATCCCGACACTTGCAGTTCGTCGCCATCGGCGGTACCGTAGGAACCGGAGTCTTCATTGCTAGCGGAGGTTCCATCGCCACTGCTGGGCCCGCTGGCGCGCTCCTGGCTTACGTTTTCGTCGGTACTCTGGTCTACTCCGTCATGCTCAGTTTGGCTGAGATGGCTACCTACCTACCCATTTCTGGTGCATTCACACAGTATGCTGCCCGCTTCGTCGACCCCTCGCTAGGTTTCTCCATGGGCTGGATTTACTGGTTTTCGTGGTCCATCACCTACGCACTCGAACTCACAGCCGCTGGACTTATCATCCAATGGTGGGACTCGGATCTCAGCATCGGCATCTTCATCACCATTTTCTGGGTACCAATCACGGCCGTCAACTTTTTGCCCGTTGATATTTTCGGTGAATTCGAATTCTGGTTTGCTCTCATCAAGGTCGTTGCCCTTGTCGGTTTCTGGATCTACGCCATCTGCATGAACGCTGGTGTCGGCGCACAAGGCTACATTGGCTTCCAGTACTGGAACTCTCCCGGTGCTTTCGCTCCATACCTTGCCGAGGGCCCTGTTGCCAAGTTCGTCGGTTTCTGGGCTGTCCTCATCCAGGCTGGTTTCGCATACCAGGGTACTGAGCTCTGCGCTATTGGTGCTGGAGAGTCCGCGAACCCCCGTGTCACTATGCCTTCGGCTATCCGAAAGACCTTCTGGAGCATTTTCACCCTTTTCGTCTTCACAATTTTCTTTGTTGGCATTCTGGTCCCCTACGACAACGAGGCTCTTCAAATTGGTGACACCAACGCCGGCTCATCTCCTATGGTTATTGCTTTCCAGCTCGCCGGAGTCTCCGCTCTTCCCGATATCTTCAACGCCATCCTGCTCACCGTCGTTCTCTCAGCCGCCAGCTCCAACGTCTACTCAGGCAGCCGTATCCTCGTCGGTCTTGCGGAGGAGAAGTGTGCCCCTGCGTTCCTCAAGGCTACCACCAAGCGAGGTGTCCCATACTGGGCGACCGCAGTCACCGGCGCCATGGGTCTGCTTGCCTACATGAACCTTAGCGCCAACGGTGGAGAAGCTTTCAACTGGCTCCTCAACATCGTCTCCGTCGCAGGTTTCATCGCCTGGACTTGTGTATTGATCTGCCACATCAGCTTCATGCGCGCACTCAAGGCTCAAAACATCGACCGTGACACCCTCCCATTCAAGTCATGGGGTGGCCGCCCACTCGCCATCTACGGTGTCACTTTCTGCGCCATCATCACCATCACCCAAGGTTTCACCGCGTTCGTTCCATGGAGCGTTGAGGACTTCTTCATCGCATACATCAGTTTGATCCTCTTCGCCGTACTTTACATTGGACACAAGCTCATTACCAGGAGCAAGTTCATCAACCCCGCGGAAGCCGATCTCCTGAGTGGAAAGTTCGAGGACGAAGTTAGCGAGACCTGGGAAGAATCTTCCGCCAGTGGCTGGAAGAAGATGATCAACAAGTTCTTGTAAACATTGCTTCATGGCAACAAAAAGTGTTTTGGATTCTATTCGATCCGATAGCATAGCGTAGCGTTTGAGGCATAGCATTTGCACGGCGTTTTTCATTTCTAGCGTTTAGGCCGCGGCAGATACCAGTGTTAATGTTTACTCTTCATACTTCAAATCTCTTTGATCTGCACACGGTGAACTTGTTCAGGCCTGTTACATTTGCTGATCTTTCAGCTCCTTGTGGCTGTGCACTGGTCATCTCAGCCATATCCAGTCTGTCCTTTGATCAACACCGCCACACTGTGGCTATGCTTGTTTACTGAGATGATCATCTTAACGATGGAATGAATCACTCGGTGTACAACACACACTGAGTTCACCGATCCAGGTCAACACCACCGTCATCAGTCCTCGTAGTCCAGTGCATGGACTTGTCGTGTCAGATGTGGAAACTTGATCGCTGTGACACACATGCGGAGTGACGTAGCGGGCGCCTTAAGCTTAGCCTGCAAGCATAAGATTGTGGTGTTGTGAACTCCATATTGATTTCCGAATGCCGTGGTATCAAACTCCAATATCATACAAGAACATGCTAACAAGACTCCATCGCTCAGTAAAGTGTCGAAACCGCATCAAACCCCGCTTTCTCCCTTCCAATACAAAAATAGTCGCCCTCGTCTCACTCCGCATAGCTCCATCTCGCTCGCGTCGTCTAACCCCAGAGTCTCACAACCTCCACAACGCCCAGACTCAGTGCAGTGATCTGCAGAGCGCGACTTGGTGAAAGCATGTCGGACGCCGCGCTTTCGGTGTTGTTTTTTCCACCAGTGCCCTTTCCACCCTTGCCTCCTCCTTTGCCGCCGCTGCTGGCTCGTTCTTCGAGTTGAACTTCTGGCATAACTAGGGTGTCGCGTGCGGCAAGCGCTTCGCGGAATTGGGCGCGAGATCCGATGAGTGCTGGTTCAGCTACCGCGTCTGGGTTGGCGACGGGTGCTGGGTTGGCGAGCGCGACTGTCGCGAGGAGAAGAGTGGTTGCCGCAGTGAACTTCATGGTGGTGCTGTTTGGGGTAGATTTGCAAGCCTGTGTTTGGAGATGGAGAGTTGCAAAGGGGGTAGTGGAATCGAGGTAGGGTTTTATAGACTAATGAGTATATTAAGAGTAACTGGCTGATGTATGAGTCGCCGCAATGAGTCTTTGGTGTAACCTTGAGGCAGATTTGATGAGTTGTATGCACATGGAAAGGAGGCGCGACGCATCGCATTTATGTATTCAGGCCACAAGCGGTGTGCTTCTTGAATTACGCCGTGGACGCCTTAACGCTGTACACAGCCTGCGCGCGCAGAGTAAGATCGCCAACACAGCCTGCTTTCAGCTTGACGCGATTCTGGTAATGGTCTGTGACGTCGTGAGGGTGTTGGACCAATTACAATCGTTGTATAGCCAGTCATGGAAAAGCGCGAGATTGGGCTGACGGCTTGGCTTTCTTGGCAGTCAGCTGAACAAGGCGTTCCGTCCCGCTCTTGGTCGCCTGCCTCGAGAGCTTGACAGTCTCCAAGGACTTCCGTCATTCCTGTTGCTGTTCCAAGTCAGGAACGCAGCCAGCGATATGAACGTAGTATTGGTAACAGACACCTCACTGGACTCTCGGTTCCAAATGAAGCTCGTGTCACCTGTGCTAGTTCGCAGAAGACTCGCTAAGTCAACGTTCAACCATTCATAGTATCCCGACAGTATAAATCGACATTGCAGCATTTGAACACGGGATGCGAGCTGGGAAGCCGTACGGAGGTTTGTAAAAGTTGTCTAGATTGTACATGGATGACTAACAGGAGACTTGTGTATGCGATCCGTATGAACCTGACAGATCATGTTTGCTGTCCGATGTGAACTGATCCTTGTCCTGGCTTGAGGGTATGTGTTCGAGGCGAACGTGTCCTGCTTCGCGTGGCTTGGACGAGGAAGAGGGAGAGTTTCGCATCGCGTTAGGGAAGAACTGCCGTGCCATTGGACGAAGAGCAGCAATGCTGACGGAGATGATTCCCAGACTGCACTCGCCTACTGACATGATGACGCACTCGACGCTCTGATCTGTATGTGTGTTAGTTCTCATGTTCGTGTGGAATAGCCGACATCGATGCGAGTCCTGTTAGTGGCAGATATAGCAGTTCGTGCTCTGCTTGCTGCATCCAAAGACACACTCCATCATGATCCTCAAATCGAAGGGATACTTACAGGTAACATCCAGGACGCGTAAACGGTCCAAGAAGGCAATACGGACAATGCCCAATATGCTTGCGCTATCAAACGTCAGTGAAGTTCGACGACCTGCCGTCTACACATACCTTGCACCTCCTGCCAGTAGCACACATAGAACGATTCGTTGCCTTTTTGGCATGTTCAGCCTCCAAATATGAGGTATAGGTAACGCGCAAAGGAGAAGATCCGTCGCGACATTAACGGCGGAGCTGGCGTATAGATAGGTGACGTAGTCGACGCACACTGGTTCGAGGGTGAAATTCCACGCTCCTTGAACCGGACGGCATTGGAAGATGGTGACGAAGATTCCTAACAGTACTTCAGCACATGTCACGTGTCGGGAACTGTGGCTTGTCTTACCTGAAATCCATAGACCGACAATGCACACAGATATCGCGTACATCCAGATGCGGAAGGTCTTGTCGTGGATGAAACGCAGGTACGATGATATGATGGCGATCTTCGTCAACGCAATAGCAAAGGCGTATAGGATTTGGCAGATGAAGAGATACTACAGCGCGTTAGTTGTGACAGCTCAACCAGCCCATTTTCAACATTCATGACAATCGCCATAACCATAATACGGCACCCAATGAAAGCTTGGCACCTACCAATATACAGTCCTTCAAAGTGTCGAAGAGCGTCAACATGGGTAGGAGCCAGATGTGTCGCCCGAGGCCATATTGGGTTGCTAACATATCGTTAGCTAGATTCCACACTCGAAGTACTTGTTGCTTACCAGCGATACACACTGCAGCCAGAGCAACAGTGAAGACGGCGGCGCAAATGATAAGGACTGCCATATATCAGCTGGGACCTTTGTGAGGGAATAGGTTGGCCCGTACAATCGTCTATGAAGATATGGCCGACGTATTTCGCTCTTGCGAAGAGGCGGAGACCGACAGTCAACACCACCAGAGCGATGAAGACTGCGCATGTTATCGTAAGACTGTTGACCTTCGAAGTATGGTCGCTGAAATCGAATTGAGTGATGTCGACTTCTATACCACCGAAGAAGACGGGGTCTGCGTTGGGGTTGGAGTTCTGGCTTGCCATAATGCAAGGTCTCAGTGGGTTCAATGTGAAATGAAGGTAAGATCCGCAACAATCTGTGTAGAGGAGCCCGAAGGCATATGAATCCACGTAGAGGTCGGGCCGCAACCGGCGTAGTCTTACGGGGGCGAGTGGCCTGTGGGATATGCACGATGAATGCGCAATAGACCCGGTGGATCCCCTTATTATCTCTCGGTCAGCCGTTGTGTGGCGTCTTTCGTCAGGGCCTTGGGCGGTATCATTAGACTCTTCCATCAGACCGGTAACCCTAACTGACATGCGGAGCTAGCTCTTAATGCCAGAACATGAATCCGGAACGAAAAACAACATTCCTTCCAGACCTTTGGATCTCTGGTGTTTGGTTTCGGCGCGCCGTCGACGTATCATGGTTCTCTGCCAACCTCTGCCATTGTATGGTTCTGTGTCGCCAGATCACCTCTTCAACATGCAATTACTCAGACGATTATCGAAGGGATTCCCCATTCAAATGTCGCGCTATTGAAGAAGTGCGGGTGTGCCGCTCTGCGCTAGCTGACGGCCTCTTCGTCCCCATCACCTGCAAGGGCAGGCGCAGGCACCAATCTAGCTGATCGACCATCCAGAGGAGCCGCACCAGAGTCTATCGGATTGATAGCATGCTTGTAGGCCACGGAAGAGACCCTGTGGCATTCATCCCGCGGAAGTAGCTGATGCAAGTGTATGGGCGCACCGCCAAAGATCGATCTTAGTCCACCGTGCTCTCGAGATGGCACAATATCCTATGCGGTAATGATGGCTACCTTGGGGATGGCTGAAAGTATAATTCATGTCGATCTAGTTTCTTCCCCCTAGGAGTTCTCGACCGGCTTTGTTCCGCGGGCACTACGATGGTAGTGATACTTTCCATGGCCCCTGCTTACTCAGACAGCAATAGCGAATCAGCAGCATCCCGAGGCATCTGTCCCTGTACATAGACCACGTGCTAATGTACTCGAAACTTTGGGTGTACCGTAAAATCTCACAGTAGATGCGTCCCGCAAAGCGATTGCGAGAGCCGCAGTCTGTAGCCCGGTCCAGAGTCCAGTCAGACGCGCGGCGTCAAAGAATTCGCAGATTTTCTTGCTTGGGCACCACTGGGTTTGTATGATCGGTTGAGAGGAGGAGCATTCGCATAGAGCGAGCGACGGCGTCGAGGCACGTTGAACGGCGTGCAACGCGATGGGGCGGGGAGGCTGGAGGAGACACCGCGGACGGGACGGACTCGCTTCCGATGGCGCCGACATGTGGATCACACACGCTTCGCAGCACTGACTCGAACCATCTCCTCGCCATCAGGTCGCTGTTTTTCCTCTAAAGAGATAGGTGTCATACATCTCATGGCAATTTGCGCGCATTTCCATGAACCCAATATCGTGAACCTAATCGGCGTGATCATAGCGATGCCTGAGACTCCACGTGTTGTGCAGCGGCTTGTCCACGAATGGCAAAACTTTCGACTTAGGCCCAGCATCGACAATTCCAGTTCTTGGGTCGATGTCATTAGCTCTGCATGATGTAGTGCCTGGCCCGTGAATTTTACTTAGTTCTCAGGAGCTCCTGCATACATACATACCTACTGTGCGCAGCCCGAAGCACACCACTACACAAAGGTCGCCACGCAGAAATGTTATTCATTCTATGCGCAAGACAATTCCAAACTTTGGTCGAATGGATCGGTAGCTGATGACTACGCGGCGGTGGCCTCCGCAGCTTGGCGAACTCGACAGCACAGCGGAGCCCCGATGGACGCGTCTCCCATCTTACATGGGAGCATCAAAGTCATTGGCCTATCGAGACCCATCATCAAGGCACGGAAAAGTCAGGCCTGTAGCAGGTAAGGCCAAGATGACAATTGACCGAAGTTTTCGTGAGGAGACGAGGCTGAGCCGGCGGAATCGACGCGCTATTAGGGCCGTCTGCGAATGAGCGATGGTTGCCGCGACTCTGCCGATGCTTGAAAGCGAAAACATGGATGAGGTGTCGTCGTCGATACCCATTGTCCTGGGACGCTGATGTTCATATGTAGGTGGGGTGTAGCAAGTGCAAATGATTTTGAAGGTAGCCCCAAAATTGGTCACTAGAAGCTCACATTATTGTACAACTGTCAACGTGCGCTCTGGCAGTCTTCTTACTGTATATACATCTATCATCGTGATATCCGCGATGTCGACATCCACAGATCCGACTGTACCGCTCCCGACCGAGACAGAGAAAGACCGCAAGGACAGGGACGATGATGACGATGACGACGTGAGCTCAACTGCACCTGCTCCAACTCCAACGCCGCCAACACCGGGTCCTCCCGGGAGACCATCACCGGCCGATGCATCACAATCTTCGCAAACCTCTCTTCCTTCTTCAACCTCGACGCAAGCCTCTGCTTCAGCGCCCGCAGTTTTAGAATCTGGAAATGGCGGTCTGGGCGTTGGCGCGAGCGCTGGTATCGGCGCAGCAGTCGCCGTTGCTGTCATACTACTTCTACTGGGCGGCTGGTTTTGCGTGCGTCGAAGGCGAGCTGGAATACGCCGGAAGAGCACCCTGTCACAAAGTTCGTACGACTTGGAGAATGCGACGAAGGGGAGCGAATGTGGAGCCCTCGGGCCAGCGGAGATGGAGGCTGGGGGTAATAGCGAGAAGAGCGCTTCTGAACTCGCCAGTCCTGTTGTTCCCGTGGAGGCCGTTGGTGATCGTCGACTCTTTGCTGCAGAATTACCAGGTTCCGAAGTCCTTCCAAACGACGAAAAGAAAGGAACTGAGGAGCGACTCTTTCCGGACTCGCCAATTGATGACGAAGACGACCAGTACCACGTCGATTCGAAGAGTATCGAGGATAAGAAAGCGTCATGTTGACGGTCCGCTAGCATCTTATGTCGTTACGAATCAAAATATATTTTTCGCGCTTTCCTAGCGGGGAAGCCAATCTTGGAAATCTCTCTCTCAATGATTGGTGTACTCGCGATGACCCGATGGGAAATGAACATTTGGAGGCGGTGATACTGGCGAACCGTCCTGCGGGGTGTAGTCCCTTGACAGGCGCTGCAACGGCGAGACTCCACCAGGAGAAGCCTCAGGTGGTGAGACCATTAGCAGCGGTACAGGAGCGCGTACGGGTTCGGTGGTATGGCTCGTGGTATTCGGCTCCAGTGCCATGCTCCAAGTCCTCCATTGCTCGAGCTTTTGAACGTACAGTTCCTCCGCTTCTGTCCTGGCGTGAACGTTGCCATTTCCCTCCACTTCTTGCGCAGCGGTATCGCCGTGCAGTTCTGGTATCTGGCCTGCATCCAATTCGTAGATGATCCGAGCATCGGCTTCAACAGGCGGCGGTGGTGGTGTTGGCAGCGGTGGTGACGAGGCGGACGTAGAATACCAAGCTTTCTCCTGCTGTCCTGCTTCGGCATCCATCGACTCTCTCTTTGTGGTCTGGAGCTGTGCTCTCCGAGCCAGCACACGGTTCCTTCGTCTGATCGCAAAGAAAGCAAGAATAGCGATAACGACGATCGATACGGAGCACGCTACTCCAATAGCAATACCACGCTTGATGCCAGGAAGGGCCAAGTCCGTTTCGATTGCATTCTCCTCTTGAGTGGTCGTTAGGTTGAAGTGTTTCGATGTGGGGGATGGTGTGGGTGTCGCCATGGTTGAGGGAGTCACTTGACGTTTCGCACACACGCAGAACGTGAGAGGATGTGGGAGTTAGTACTCTGTCCCAGAGTACAAGTTTCGGGCATATGCAGTACATGTCGGAGCAAATATTGCGGCGCAGTCGTGAAGGCTGCATGATCGTCGCACCAGCCTGGCTATGAAACCATGCAAGAGGTGCCTTCGGCGGCTACAGGATTATGGATTGGGGGCTACAATCACGCCGCTCTGGACCAACCATGCCCCGGCGCGTAGGGCAGTGCAACAGACGTGGAACGTGGCACAAGCTTGAAAACCGGCATCACGATCCTTTTTAAGTGGTGGAGAGGAGTTGGGGTTGCTGTAATGTAAGGAGCGTGAGGCGTAGGTACGGTATGCTTACGTTGCGGCACGAGAAGCGTGGAGGAGTGGCGGTGCGGCGTGTCATCATTTGCCTCCTAGGTAGAACTCGAACACCACGCTCTCACCGGACGCTCTCACAAGTGCCCCCATAGTCCATATCACCGTGCGCCATGTGTTTCCAAACCATGAATTACGCGCTGAATGATTTTGCAGAGGCCCACCCAGGCAGTTTAAGCGGGGTGTCTGCGGGTGCCCGCATCCTGCGCGGCTCTGCGACTCTGCGGCTCTTTACCGACATCTCATCAACATCGCCTTTCTTCTCTTCTCAATGTTTAGAAACACCAACTGATACAAGCTCTGTCGCACTGAACTCAGCCGCGAATTTCAAACCCAGGGACAGGTTGCTAGGCTGCCTCATAGCCATGGGGGCCGCTGGCCGGTCAGCCTCGCTGGCGGCCTGAACCCACAAGTTCGGGGAAGCGGCCCCATGCGTCGACACGCCTACTAGTTGAGTCAAGCAACTTCGCAAGAACTTGCTGTGAGTACCGACGGTCGCCACATTTTCCTTACTCAGACAATGCGTCTTTTGTTGGTGTCAAAAACAACCATCGCAGCGAGCCGATGTTAAGTAGCGAACTGCGCGAAACCAAATCGCATCGGATGCCCTGCTCACCGCAAACCAGGCCTATCGGGACGCATTGGAGTCGCACGGCATGCTAGGTTCAATGACTTCATCGCATACATCACAAGCACGTGCCGATTACTATCGTGAGAAAATTGGATTATCATTAATCTATCGTGATCTTCTGTGAATCATGTAGGAGCTCGATGACAAAGTCAAGTAAGTCCATCATTCGTAGCCATTTGTGCGGCTATCATGTCGTAAACGCTTAAGCAGGAGGAGAGGTAGGCTCAGGGACGCCGGGAGGGCAGTGCCAGTGGTCATCGTGAGGCTCGCAGGCCTCAGCGGGGGCAGCAGCGGCAGAGGTGGCGGCAGCAGAGGCAGAGGCAGGAGCAGCAGACGCGGAGGCAGTGGCGGAAGCAGTGCTGGTGGCAACAGCGGAAGACTCTTCCTCAAGAGCGGTGTAAGTGCCGGGGCAGCCAACACCGGGAATGACGATGTCGTGAGCGTAGGCCTCAAGAGCGAAGTACTGGAGAGTGTCGCTGTTCCTCGCGGCGTAGGTAGCGTTGTTCTTGGCAAGAGCGATGGTTCCGGGGTACTTCTCCTCTTCTTCATCGTTGTAGTGCTCGACGACACCCTCACCAACCGGGGGAAGGTGGAGAAGACGGTGCAGAAGGTCAGAAGCCCAGAAGGTGTTGGTGGCGCCGTTGGCGACGTCGTATCCGAGCATGCACATGGTGGAAAGAGGCCTACGGATCTCGTAGGACAAGTCGCAGATGACAGTCTCGGAAGTCGCGTTGGAGCCGCGCCAGTGACCGGCCCAACCCTCCTGGTCGCAGTTGCCGTCAATGTTGTCGCAGCGGAAGAGGATGCCAGACTTGTCGCCGTCGGCAATCTTGGTGAACCAACCGAGGGGCTCACCAGTGGGAGCTTCGCCAAAGTACTTGGTGTAGACCTCGGAGTTGTTGCCGAAGCGGAGGATGTGGTCGCGGGCATGGCTGACGATGGTCATTGTCTCATCGAGACCCTTCTGAATCATGCTACGCTGGGTAGCGTTGCAAGAAGCGTGGATGGGGAACTGGTGAATAGCACCGGCGTCCCAAGCTGTGGCAGCAGGAGCAGCCTCGGCGGTGTGGGTGACGGTGACAGTTGCCTGGCGAGGGGCAAGAGGTCCGGCCATGGCGACGGAGGCTCCAAGGAGCATGAGAGCAGAGGCACGAGCAGCCATTGTGAGATTGATCTGAGGGACTTTGAAAGGGTCTTGGGAGTTGATGTGCGAACCGGAGTTCAGTGAGTGTCCCGAGAAGCTGGTTGCCGGATGCTTGATGGAGATACTTGCAGACGAGCTGCAGGCCTCTTTATATTCTACCAGAATGACATCTCACCACTGAGGACTGTTCCTCTCGGTGCTCATGTACCGACGTCCCCGCAACCTCGACCGCCGAGAGGTGAAGAAAAAACGCCTCATGGCTGCAGCCGCAGGTACATCAACCGGTATACTGCCGGTCTATCGCCTTTCCGGAGATGCAAATGCTACACTACACGGATCTGGAGGCTGATCTATACCTTGGCCTGACGTACAATTCGAATGGTTGAGCTTGGCATGGAAGTGCATGGGGGCCTGGGCGACATGTTTTCCACTCAGAAGGTGGATTTATGGGTATGTAAGTACCATGATGGGCGCCCAATGGCGAGAAATTCTCCCACCCAGGAACATGTTGTCGGGAGGATTACCTGCGTTCGGGAAGGCCGAAGACATTAATGTGGGTGGTCGCTATGTTCCGAAGCGGCCTCCCACGCGATATGTCATGTTGAGAGTGAAGCAAGGTAGAAGTACGATGATTATGGAGTCACTGTTCTCCAACGGGGCTGATAGCTATGCAACCTGTTGCCGTGTACAACTCTTAGGCAGCTTTAACAACTCTTACTGGAAACATTCAGACAACTGCCATAGTGCCAGCTCTGGAGGTTGAACGACGAAAAATGATACTAACCTCAACGCTTGTAGGTTCATCGGAATGTTGGAGTTGTCAGACCTGGTGTTAGTGCTATGTGCCGAAGAGCCTCCTAGCCGTGGAGGTCACGGCTACTACGATCATAGTACGATGCATCCCCAACACACCTCGCCAAGACCTCCGCTACCTAAATCATTGCGCTATCCCACCCACCTACTGCATCTGTAGCGACGCCGCCTACCTAAAAGCATTCGTGTAGCCTCTGATTCGACGTTTGCTCCGAGACAAGACTTATGCCAAGGTAAACCATCCAACAGGGTACTCAATGCCAAGACCGCCCGTGGCGCTCAGTGTGAAGCAACGGCAAGCCCAGAGACAAATGGATACCGAAGAATTCTTCGCGGCATCCTTGTGGGGGGCTGCCTTGCCCCATCACGGTACATGCGTTCCACTCCGCTGACACGACGAAAAGCTTGAACGAAGTCGATATATCAAGGGCCTGAGCTGGTATCACTTGAACAGCTTTTACATCCGTCGGTTCGCTCGTTAAACATATCCGGTAGACCCTGAACATTCATTCAGCCATGCGCTCCACCCTCTCTGCTGCAGTCCTACTGCTTGCGGGCTCTGCCGCTGCGCAAACACCCACCGTCACTGTCACTCAAGCTGGCGCGACTACCACCGTCTTCACTACCGGAACTCCGTCTATCACGGCTGTGTCATCATGCCATCCCCATAACACTGTTCTGTATGTGTGCCCGTTTTCAACTTCGGTTGGTAGAGTTTAGCGCTAACTCACAACAGCTATTGCATGTTTGGCTCAGATGAGTACCAGGTAGTCGGACCCACTGCGACAGAAGAGTTCCAAGCAGAGTACACGCAATGTCACAAGCATCAAACCGACACGTAGGTACCACCCATCACGATGTTTGACTGAATGCTGACTTGAGAAGATACTGTGTCGACGATGCCGGCGAAGATGTCCTGCTCATGACGGATGCTGAAGAATCGACAGAAGGCTCCTCGCATACGGGAGAAGAGTCAGCTACTGAGAGTGAGCCAGCAGGAAGCAAAGGACATTGCCACGACCATGCCGGTGTTGAGCACTGCGTCGGTGGAAGCGAATCCGAAGTCAACTGCGATGCTCCCCAGCGCGACTACAACATCCCCCTACGAGTCGGCCTGCTCTTCGTCATTCTCTTTACCAGTGGACTTGGTGTGTTTACCCCCGTCCTGACCCGGAAGTTCAACCTCGTTGGCGCCAACAACATCGTCTTCGTCGTCCTCAAGCAGTTTGGAACCGGTATCGTCATCTCCACCGCATTCGTCCATCTCTTCACCCACGCCCAGCTCATGTTCGCAAACCAATGTCTGGGTGTTCTGGAATACGAAGCCACCACCGCTGCTATCTTCATGGCTGGTTTGATGCTGTCCTTCCTGGTCGACTACCTCGGTGCGCGCTTTGTCCAGTGGCGCCAGGGAAAACACATTGCTCCCAGCACCGAGGTGGCAGCTAGTGGGGACAAATCCGGAAACAGTTCTCCTTCAGCAGAACCCACCCATGACTTCAACCGCAGTCATGGCATTGCCCACGCCCATGGTCCGATGCGCGAGGCTACCCCCATGGAAGAGAAGATCAACGTAATGAACCTAGAGGCGGGTATCATCTTCCACTCCATCCTCATCGGTATCACGCTTGTCGTCGCAAGCGATGGATTCTTCATCACCCTCTTCATCGTCATCCTCTTCCATCAAATGTTCGAAGGTATCGCTCTTGGAACTTGCATCGCCGAACTCCCCAAGGCTGCTGCTGGTACGGCGCAGAAGCTCCTCATGTGTGGTACTTTTGCGCTTATTACACCTATCGGCATGGCCATCGGTATCGGAACGCTAGACCACTTCAACGGCAACGACCCCAGTACCATCATCGCCATCGGAACACTCGATGCACTTTCCGCTGGTATCTTGACATGGGTTGGACTTGTAGAGATGTTGGCAAGAGACTGGATGCACGGAAAACTGCTCAACGCAGGTGCTGCCAGGACCTTCAGTGCCTTGTTCGCGCTCATTTGCGGTCTTATTCTCATGAGTGTTCTAGGCAAGTGGGCTTAGCCAAGCCGTTCTAGAGGAGTGTAAGACTGTACGATGCTGAAGTAATGACTTTACGGTTCCACGTTGGGATGAGTGTTTGGGCTCTTACTTAGGCCAGATCGTGGTTTGGACTGTCACTTAGCTTATACCCTTAATGCCAATCCTACAAAAGAATGCACCTATTCTACGATAGTGCTCTTCATACTCTGCTTTCCAAAACTATCCCATACCTCTGCTCTCCATCCCTCGGGTGTTGGATCGTGCTCCAATAATATTCGATACGGCTCATCGACGTATAGCGGGCTCATAGCACGATATGCTATGGACTTGGGCACTGCCTCTGTATCCCCATTCTTACTCGTATCCCGCCAAAAGTCCAGCATGTTGATGAGATTGAGCGGCCCATGTACAACAGCATTCCTGTGGCCCTCAACCTCTCGACACCACTCAGGCAGATAGTGTATCTTGTGCGCATTGAATGTCAGCGCTGAGAAGCGAAATAGCGAAGTTGGCGTCTGGCAAAAATCCCTCTGGCGCGTACCAGTCGGCAATTCTTTCTCTTCTGGCTTGGGTAGTGCTTTCATCGGATTCTCAGGTGTAAGCTCACGCTGGAATACCCAATTACGGCGGTCTGTTAATGCAACACCGTGGTCATTTGAGAAGGTCTTCTCAACACCCACGAGTAGCATTTCTCCTCCATTCTTCAACGTCTTGGGCTCAGCACTCAGCAGTTTCGTCGTCTCTTTGACCTCCTGGCCCACTCTCAGCAGTGCGTTCCTGTCTTGCGCCCACGTCAACTCGCCGCCAGCCCACATCCGCCTAGTGAATGGAATCAGCGGGTTCACAGTGCGATCTGTGCCATCAAGTCCCAGTTCGGCTTCGATGATCGAGGGGGTGAAGTAGACTAGGTGGTAGCCGGGTGGAATCGGCGTACCGGTTGGTGGCGGATTGAAAGAGGAGGGTGTACGGTTGAGTGTTATGGAGAGCAATTGAAGTTGATTTGCATCAAGAAGCTGTTTACGGATCGAGACGGGCCCCCTTTGGAATCGTGTGAGGAGTTCACTACATGCTTCCGTTGCGGAGGCTTGGCGGTGGGAGGGGCCTGTAGAGAACAGGCGGCGGGCCACGGATGTCATGATACAGCTATTTTCCTAGCACCCTGGAGCATCTAGGAACTGCTCACAACGAGTTTGATGATGCGAGATGGACAGTCAGTGATGGTCGATAACAAGAAAGGTGGAGGAAGATGCCGAAGGATAGCCGATATCGATAACGTCACCCTCCACGGACAATTTTGGTAACCGACTTCGGCGTCTTCCAAATCAAAGCAAACGTCGAGCTTCGGCAACATGTCCGAGCCACCACGGAAACGCGCGAAGTTGGCGTGTGTGACTTGCAACGCGCGACGCGTCAAGTGCGATGTCACGGATCGCCATCCTTGTAGCAACTGCGCAGCCGGCAACGTCGAGTGCGAAACGCGTGAATCGAGGCGCGGAAAGCACGTCCGGAAGCCGCGGGCCGAGACTGAGGTCCGCAGCAGAACGTGAGTTATGTCCACTTGGAGTGCTCTGTGGCAGTTACTAATCCCGAAAAGCCCACCAAGTACATCGGCTCTGAGCCCGCAGCGACACGAGGATGAGGTGGCGGCGTCACATGTCCTCGCGTCGCTATCGTCGAACTTCCACAGCCCCGTCAACCACACGCCAGCTTCCGGAAGCCAATACCAACTTCACACTCCGGCAGTGTCAGCAGAACAGCAGAGTAACCCACCTACAACAGGATCTGTCCACCAAGATGATGCCGTTTTCCTTGGTGAAAGCAGCTCTTTGCGCTATGTGACGACGAGCGAGGCTGGTGAGCCATCAGAAGCAGCAGCTCATCGCCGACAGTCCTGTTTTCGTCATGCCGTTCCAAGCGCTGCAAGAGCAGAATCGTTCGTGCCAGAGTGGGAATCTGAAAGACGTCTTGCGCGCAAGAAGATCCTACAAGCAGAGGGAGCCTTTTCGTTTCCTCCCGCCGAAGTCCGGCTCGAGCTCCTTCAGGCGTACTTCAAATGGTTCCATCCACACTTTGCAATCATAGACGAAGAAGACTTCTGGGCCTCGTACCAAGACTTTACGTTCTCCGCATTGTCTTTACAAGCTATGATGTTCATTGGCGTTATCCACTGCGAAGAGTCTACCCTCAAGGCTCTTGGGTGGGGAAACCGTCATCGAGCGAAATGGTTCTTTTATATCAGGGCAAAGGACCTATACGACTCTACATACGAGACTGACAAGGTAAAAGTCATACAAGCTCTGTTTCTGATGAGCTTTTGGCGAGCCGGTGCGCTATTGGAGAAGGACGCGCGACATTGGCTAGGCACAGCTATTAGTCTCTCGCAAACAAGAGCACTACATCGTTCCGGGGGCGATACTGATGAGGGACGCGCGAGGGTCAAGAGGAGGCTTTGGTGGGCTATCTATGTGCGCGAGCGACAATGCGCATCAGCTCTGGGGCTACCGTGCCGCATACGCGACAAAGATTGCGATATTGAGCCGTTGTCTTCCGCGGATTTCACTTCTGCTTTTTCGCCGTCCACTCCTCTCGAGGACCGCCATAGGTCCACGGTGTACACGATAAGTATGGTGCAGCTGGCGGTCTTCCTTGGCAGAGTAGTGGATGCCGGTTATCTGCCGGGACGGGAGCTCGCGCCCGAGGAGAGAGTCAAACTCCGCAACGAGCTTTACAAATGGAGGCAAGACCTTCCAAGTACTATGCAGCTGCATAGCGATGCTGGCGACCCGCCCAACTTCCAAGCCAGTATGCTTCATCTCGCGTACAACAATCTACTCATTCTACTCCATCGCACCAGCTTCGTTGTAGACGAGAACAATACCACATCCGCGGACGGGAATGTAGCGCTACAGGCAGCAGCGCGCAACTCGCGTATAGTCGAGGATATGCTGCCTGACGGCAACATTGGGCACGCTCAGATGCACGTCATCACAAACCTCTTCAACACACTCTGCATACATGTTGTCAACTTCCGGCGCTCGAACGGCATCAATCGCACACTCGCTGAGCATCGAGCCAAGCTTTGCCTACTGGGCCTGCAAGAACTTCAGAAGACGTGGGAAGTTACCAACTGGGTGTTACAGCTATTTTTCCAATATCTCGACAGAGAAACAGCCTCGAGGCTAGCTATGGAAGCGGATGACGGAGGCGCCACGAGGAATGTTGGCCAGTCTACTTCGGTTGGAACTACTGTGCAACTGCCGTCGCAGCAACAAGGTATCGATAGCATCGCAATTCGTAACACCCAACATGATATGGAAGGTCCTGCGTCAGCCGCCACCAGCCCTAAGCCCTGGTCTTGGACCCTGGACGAAGCGGATCAATATCTTTTCACGCAGATTGAGAACGACTTTGCTTTTGGGGAAGGCACCCTGCAGCAATGGTGTCCAGAGGACGTGCTCATACCCGAATAAACGGATGTCGTCTCGCCAACATCGCAGTAAATTGTTACGAACACATGTAGCTCTCGCGATTCGCGATCCATTCTTGCCGATGGGTTACTACAGCGCTAGGTATCTCCGCAAGCATTCACATCCAATCTTAATCAAAACCTCAGTTGTAGACTGGCCCACTTGGCGCATATCCAGTCAGTCTCGTACCATTTGAAGGCCTGAACTTCTCCTCCTTGAACCACACGTGTGCCGATTCAGACAGCTTCTCGACTTCCGAGAAGGGGAATTCCGGCTTGGAGTCAGAGCTCGCAAGGAGGTCGTAGATGCCTTGAGCATAGTCGGGACCAATGTTGTACACTTGTGCGAGGTACTTCTTCTGTTCGGGCGTCAGTATGCGTGGTGCGACTGAAGGATGCAGGGCAGAGATTTACCTGGATATCAGCGTACTTGACAAACTTGAGCATGTTGAAGGTGTTGGTGATGGTATGTTGCCTCCTTTCAGGCGACATGACCCTGCTCCACAGCTCCTTAGCCTGGTCGTACTCGTTTTTCTTTGCCTCATGCCAGTAGTGGCTCTTGCGGCTCATAACGTTGTCCGAGACCTGGTACGGCGCCTCGGCAACATCGGGGCGGAACTTGTGCGCGAAGCTGTTGGGGTTGTATTGCTTGTTTCCTGCGTGGTTGGCATCGACACGCATCTGGCCATCGAACTGGAGAGGCGCGAAGGACTTTGACATGAATGGGCAGTTGACGGGGATCTGGTGAAGATTTACACCTGCAGGAAGTTAGTACACGTCTCATATGCACTGCTCACAGCCAAAACTTACCAATTCGGTGATACTGGGCGTCGCGGTAGAAGAACATGCGGAACTGGAGCAATGGATCGGGCGAGTCCTCAATACCGGGGACCATGCTGCCGGGTGAGAAGGCAGCTTGCTCAACATCGCGGTGGTAGTTCTCAGGGTTCTTGTTCAACACAAGACGGCCAAACTCCTGCATGGGGAACTGCTTGCGCGGCCAGACCTTGGTGACATCGAAAGGATCGAAGCCAAGCTTCTCCGGATCCGCATCCTCAGGCTCCATGACCTGCACCATGGCGGTCCATTCGATCTCCTCGCCCTTCTCAATGGTCTCCCACAGATCGCGCTTGGAGTAGTCTGGGTCCTCACCGCACATCTGTGTCGCTTCTTGCTGGGTGAACTGCTTCTGGCCGTGCTTGGCAATGAAGTGGTACTTGATGTATACGAACTTGCCTTCGGCGTTGACCCACTTGAAGGTATGGCAACCGTACCCGTGGTTGAAGCGCCAGCCAACGGGAGTACCGTGGTCACTGAAGAACATGAGACCGGCATGGTTGCTCTCGGGTGTGTTCGCCAGAAGATCGAAGATGGCATCGTAGTCAGGAAGGAAGTTCCTGGGGTTACGAGCTTGCGAACGGATTACGTCTGGACCTTGAATAGGGTCGCGGCAGAAGAAGATGGGGAAGTTGAGGCCGACGATGTCGTAGTTGCCCTCCATGGTGTAGAACTTGATGGCGAAGCCACGGGGGTTGCGGGCTTCATCGGGGTATTC